ATCTCAATTTAAAAATTAAGAAAGATATAATGAGATTTTTGAAGCACCTCTCTCCACTTTATTTAACTTTAATCCTTAAAAATTTGGCGAAGAGAATTATATCTAGAAGAGTTAGCTGGGTCTTTTACGATCTATTATTTTACAGTATGTAAGGAGTCTTATAGTTACTGACTAGTATATGATCAAAGTCTCTTTCACTACAGTTTGACTTTTAAATTTACTCTATCTTATCCTTTTTGAGGTTAACGAGGCAAAAATTGTTATTCAATCATCAAATAAAAGCACTTCTTTTATATAATTTCTTAGATGGGCCTTTATTTTCTGTTATTCTTTACAACTTCCGTGCAAAGAAGTTCTTATAATGGGCTATTAAATTTAAAATAATTTTAAATAGAAGAATTAATTTTTTATTTTCTCTTCTTAATAATTTTTTCACCAAAAACAAGCAAAAATGCACTTCTATTCACTCTATTTAATCTTATTATATATTATAAGAAGAATACATTCAATTTATTAGAGATAAACTTGAGACATTTAATCTTTAAGTAAAATTAGTGATCATGTAACTCTAATTAATTATCAAGGATTAATCCATTCTAAATAATGAATGACGAGGTTTCCCATTATTTATTTTCTCTCTTCCAAAATTAGTTTAAACCATCTTTACCTAAAGAAGGTCAAGCATCGTCATGTACCTTTCCAAGTGATAAATTTTTTTCTTGACCAGCTTACTAGAGATTGCTTTTTAAGGGCTCGGCCTATTAATGGAAAGCTTTAAATAGGGGAGATTGGAATGAAATTATCAGTATTACAATACTCATTAGTTAACAATATTATTTAGATTTTTCAAATAGAGTATTGAAAGGATGATACCTTTAGGATACTAGAGGAGAATTGGATATGTAAGAATAATTTACAACAATTTATAAAAAAGGATTTATAGTCATTATTAAAGGGAAGATAAGATATGAATCATCAAGGTGAAAAGATTATCACTCTTATTAATAGTAGGTCAATATTATAACTATTCTGATGCTAAATATTTTAACATTAAGAACAAGCAAGCAAAATTTATTCGTGTTGAAAATCATTCATTTTAAAATATTGATATTGCTGCAATATGAATGCCTTATAGGTGGAATCATTTTATTGTGATAATTATGATAACTCTTAGATATCCCTAAATAATACGTAAATTAACTCTATCAATTGATAAAGTCTCTTCAAATCAAAGAAATTTAGATTTTGCTACTTTCTCATTCAAATTATGTTATATTTTTATTAGAAAGATTATAGCATATGTTAGCTTTCCATCTACAATTATATCCATAAAAAAGATTTGATTGATTCTTATTAAATTCTAATCAAATCAAGTATAAAATGTTTAGTTTATGGTAGCAAAAAAAATAAAAAAAAAGAGCATGCTTAACCTGTTGTGCAATAAATCTACAGTCTTCATTACTAATAGATATTTAAGGTTTTAAAAACTGCTTTTTAATTTGATAATATACTTAATTTACAAATTTAGATTATAAATTAATAAAAGTTTATGCTTCTTATTATTTATTAATAATATTTAATATTAATTCTAACTCTTAAATCAATTAAGTATATTCGCATAAAGTTGTGATTCTTCTGCATAGTTATCTTCACATGATCCTTAGTTTTTTTCACATTTTGAAGTTACCTTTCACTTTTTAGAAATCTCACACAAAGAAGAACTATAGTTACATTACACCCTACTTGTGGGAGTAAGAATCCGTCAAATTTTAACTTCTATAATATACAATTCGAATCCTGCAAAACTGGGTCCACTATAACTATCCCCTCTTCACTTTATACACTATCTACTTTATTTACACCATAACTCTCTCAGCTTCTTGTGAAAGTCATCCTTCATTTGTTTATCGGCATCTTAATCATTAATACTATAAATGGATATACCCATTATTTTTTTGAAAAATTTAATTGCCTATATGCAAAGGGGGCCCATTAAAATCCACACTATCATCCAATTATACAACTTCTTAAATCCAGCCAAAATTAGATAAATTTCACTTGTGTATCTCTATAAGTATCTACTGTCCACCTTTCTATTTATCCCCTTCCATTAGATATTAAGGAATGGGCCTTTATGTGAATTTTTTGCTATCCTCAGAAAGAAGGTTCTGTTAATCTCTTGCTTTATGCTTCGAAATTATATGGATTTCCATAATAATGATCATAGATATATATGGCGAATAACCTTAGAATTATTTCTGGACGTTTTGGTAACGAGATATCTTACTTTTTAGTTTAGTAAGTTCTGTTGCATTAAGAGATTAGGCTGATTGAAAATATCTCTTACTATATACTGCCATCAAATAGTTACACAGAAATAATGATAATTAAATTGGGTGCATTCTATAATATACATCCACTTCTTACATTAATTAGTATAAAACAATAAATTCTAAAGCAATAAATTATCAACGATTTTTTATAACAAAATAAAAGATTTAATATTAGCGCAAATCCATTTTTTTTTCCTTATTTAAGATCTTCTGATTTGAATTTAAAAGATAGTTTATGCACAAGAATTTTTGAAATTGAAATTTTAGTAAATTTGAAATCTAATTAAGAGTATGATTCAACAATGTATATTGCATTAACAAAATGTATCATATTAAATAATCTTGTTTGATCACAATTTAATTCTAATTGTTCTGGATTAGTATTATTAGAAAAATCTCAAACTTTATCAGATTATTCTAAATTAATTATCGAAAATTTATAAATAGAGACGATCGTGTAGTAACCAAATAACTTTATTGAATTTTCTAAATAAATAATAAATATATATACAGTTCAACACTCTTTATTTTAGTCCAAATAATAAATAAACTATTCAAACTTCTCAAAAATATATTGCATGATTATACTATTAAATGTTATTCAAATTTTAAGTGTTAATTATCTATCAACCTTCTGAAAGATTTTCAAACAATATAAGAGTGTCAAAATTGATAAAATTCAAATTTAGAATTTCCTATCAATTTTTTAATTTTATGCAAAGTCACAGCGATTTTATTTAATCCTAGTTTTTATATTCCTAAATTCATAATACTAGTTTCAAAAAAATGAGTACTTATTGAAATTAACTGCTGAAATTGATGATCTATTCTGATCTTCATCAATCTTTTTTACATACTAAATAAAACTCTATTATTATACACATTGATTTAAAGTGGGTATTTTATTATAAATAAAATAAATATCGAATATGTATTTCTTAATCATAATTTTTGGATTTCACATTTTTCGATTAAACTCAGAGGCAATAAATTGCTAGGTTCAAAAAGCCTAGCCAATAATATCCTGCCATGAATACTTGACAGGTTGCTTTATATTGGAAGGAAATGAGGAGGATTACTACAAATTGAAAAGTGTTGATAAAGAAATTATATAAAAGTCATTTATTATTCCTTACAAAGACATGCCAATCTAAACCAAAGTATTCAAATTTTTGGACTATGTTAAAATATAAGAAAAACTTATATGTTCATTATTTCTGAATTCTTTGAAATATTATATAACATGTATCAGCTTTGATACATTAGATTTCGAGAAAAATTATGGGAATATATAAGAGAAGCTTAAAATAGAGACAAGTATTTCTTAAGAAGAAATCTGTGATGAAATTCATTAATTGAATGAGAGCTTTTATTTAATTTGTTTGAGCAAATTTCAATTAAAATTATATTCCGTAAGTTTAAAAGGTGATACAATACTTATTAATGACCTTGATGTGTCTATTTAAATCTTAGATTAGTGCAAGATGAAATAATAAAAGATATTAAAAAAAAATTATTTTATAATTGCTTTTTTCTAATGCTCATAATGGATTATTGTTGAGATTAATGGTAAGGAGATGAAAATTATTTTACAATCTAAAATGGATGAAATTATTCCCTCCCTTTTAGCATTTTCTAAAGTTGATGAAGTATGTATTTGCGATTCAACAATCTAGTTTCTAATTCTTATAGAAGGAAATAATTACCTTCAAGTTAGATGGAGCAAAAATGGAGTTCTTTCTTAATTATTTCAGAGCGAAAAAAGAATCTTAAAAATGATAATGAATAATAATTGCAATAGTATTATGCTAGTCACACATGTAAAAGAAAATAATTCTTAACTAATTTAATATTTCGATAATGAAATTGTATTAAATTACTCTTTTCAAGGAGAACAATTATATTTTTCTTCCTAAATTTTCTTTATATAAAATTAAACAGAATTCATAATTAGTATTGATCAACATATAACTCAAAAACACTAAATTCTTAATTCATCATTGGTTTTGCTAAAAGAAGATAATTTATTTTATTAGATAGACAAACTTAATAATTTGTTATAATTCTATAGATATTTTCCATTTAGTAGTATTATTGAACCCAAATAAGGATTTCTATATATTATTTAGAACTTCATAAACACACGTAAAATATCATTAAAAAGATGTCTAAAAATCTAATATGAAAATAATTTGGAGGAGAAAAATACAGTAAAATAATATACATTAATTCTCAAAAATTGCTAAGAGAAACAGAAAATTAAGTTTAGTATTGAAGGCTTTTAATCATATTTCTAACAAAACTTTTCTTTTTTTGATAATCAGAATAATTTTATTAACCTTAGTATCTGGAATGAAGAAAAAGTAGAAAACCTATGCTATGAACAATTAAAACGATATAAGTTTAAAAGCAAGATTTAGTTAATATCTATAAAATCTTTTCACTTTATAGTTTTTCAAGTTGAGAATAAAATATATTTCCAAAATTGCTAAACTAAAAAGATATATTTGAGCTTAAATAAGAATCAATATGAAGTATTTGAAAGTATGGAACACTATTATTTAATTGATAAATTTAATAAATAAATAAAAGTGATTTATTCTTTTTAATAGAATATGAATTCTATTAATATAAACGAGAATTTTGAAATACTTAAGGTTTAAAAAGTAGACAAATAACTAATGATTTATTTAAAAAATGAAAAATATCCTTTTTTTNAATCTTAGATTAGTGCAAGATGAAATAATAAAAGATATTAAAAAAAAATTATTTTATAATTGCTTTTTTCTAATGCTCATAATGGATTATTGTTGAGATTAATGGTAAGGAGATGAAAATTATTTTACAATCTAAAATGGATGAAATTATTCCCTCCCTTTTAGCATTTTCTAAAGTTGATGAAGTATGTATTTGCGATTCAAAAATCAAGTTTCTAATTATTATAGAAGGAAATAATTACCTTCAAGTTAGATGGAGCAAAAATGGAGTTCTTTCTTAATTATTTCAGAGCGAAAAAAGAATCTTAAAAATGATAATGAATAATAATTGCAATAGTATTATGCTAGTCACACATGTAAAAGAAAATAATTCTTAACTAATTTAATATTTCGATAATGAAATTGTATTAAATTACTCTTTTCAAGGAGAACAATTATATTTTTCTTCCTAAATTTTCTTTATATAAAATTAAACAGAATTCATAATTAGTATTGATCAACATATAACTCAAAAACACTAAATTCTTAATTCATCATTGGTTTTGCTAAAAGAAGATAATTTATTTTATTAGATAGACAAACTTAATAATTTGTTATAATTCTATAGATATTTTCCATTTAGTAGTATTATTGAACCCAAATAAGGATTTCTATATATTATTTAGAACTTCATAAACACACGTAAAATATCATTAAAAAGATGTCTAAAAATCTAATATGAAAATAATTTGGAGGAGAAAAATACAGTAAAATAATATACATTAATTCTCAAAAATTGCTAAGAGAAACAGAAAATTAAGTTTAGTATTGAAGGCTTTTAATCATATTTCTAACAAAACTTTTCTTTTTTTGATAATCAGAATAATTTAATTAACCTTAGTATAAGGAATGAAGAAAAAGTAGAAAACCTGTGCTATGAACAATTAAAAAGATATAAGTTTAAAAGCAAGATTTAGTTAATATCTATAAAATCTTTGCACTTTATAGTTTTTCAAGTTGAGAATACAATATATTTCCAAAATTGCTAAACTAAAAAGATATATTTGAGCTTAAATAAGAATCAATATGAAGTATTTGAAAGTACGGAACACTATTATTTAATTGATAAAATTAATAAATAAATAAAAGTGATTTATTCTTTTTAATAGAAAATGAATTCCATTAATATAAACGAGAATTTTGAAATACTTAAGGTTTAAAAAGTAGACTAATAACTAATGATTTATTTAAAAAATGAAAAATATCCTTTTTTGCTCTCAAAATCGCATTTTTTATTAAATAATAAGAAGTATCTTTCAGCAAATCTTTATTAGCCAGAAGAAATTCTTTATTATCTAGAGTTTGGGAATTATAAAATAATTTAATATCCAAATTTGCTTGCATTTGAATACAATGATGAGGTAACGTGCTTTCATATTTCTGATTTAATATTCATTTCTTGCAGGAATTTGCTAAAATATGCATTTACAATTTGGGCGGTACAAAGCCATACTAATTCAATACTTCTTTATAATTTTGATTTATATTCTTTACATTAAATCTATAATTATACTTTTAAAGAACACTAAATTTACAATCCACTAGAGTACTTATATATGTCTTCACATTTAGCCATTTTAATTAAACAAAATTAATCTTTATTTATAGCAATAATTGGATTTAAAGATCTAAAAATCGAGTTGATTGATATTAAAAGCACTGAAGGAATCTATTTCGAAATTATGGATAATACATTAGTATATTTTAACAATGGCTATTTAATGCAATATAATTTGCTCGATATAACTGCAATTATAGAAACTAATATATCGTCCTCGCATCCCTTGGTTTCCTCATATTAATTCTAATTGATGTCATCTTAATATAATCATGATAAAATCCCCTTTGAAGTTATTATTTAAAACAGGTGTTATAATGTAATTTCTATTAAGAATTCAACATCTGTTAAACTCAAAAAAAATTAAATTTTGCCTATTCAAATTTCAGAATATTTTTCAGGTCCAATAAATAACTTAACAATTTAAGGATATCCCACAATTAAATTGAGAAATCCTTTTTACTATGCAAAAGAAATCACAAATTGTCGATAAGAAGCATTCTTGTGTATTAAAGATTATCAATTGAATAAATTTAATGAAAATGAAGCATAGAAAACGAAATATCAAGTATCAGCAATAATCTTAGAAGATAAAACTCTATTTCAAATCCAAAAATCAAATGTTTAAGATAATGCCAATCAAATATTTTTGATATAGGATAATTTGTTTCTCTGGTTTTCGCTATTAGAAGATAATCTAAAAATACAATTATTGTAATGTAAAATGAAAGATGATGAAAGTTGTATAGAACTCTTTACAAAAGTCATAAACTTTAAAACTGAAAGAAATTTGAATTAAATAATTTTCAAAACAAATAATTTATTTAAAGTGCAAGAAGATTAGAAGAATTAGATTCATATTTTTATCAAAAATTAGAATTTTAGTATAATTAATCTACCAGATTTTACTTTTGACATTATATATATCGAAAAGTCATAAGATTATTATGTTGCTTTATAAATAGAAAACTTAATGGAAATTAATCATTTACTCAATTGATGTTAAAGGGTTTTATGAAATATTCTTTAGATTAATCGATGACAAAATTTACAATTTATTACCTCAAATCCCAATGATTTAAGAAATTAAATTAGTCTAAAGTTAAAAAAATGTGAATACGATCACACTCTATTTATTATTATCTGAAATTTAAAATTCTTATATGATAAAAGTTTAAATGGATCTATTAAATAACTTTACTTTATCTTATCACTTGGCAAAATAGATACGAAATCCTGTTTCAGATTTCCCAATTGTGCTTGGTTATGTAGATGAGAATTATTTAGTTTTGAAATAACTTAATAATAATGCCACATTTTTATATGATTTACAAGAAGATAGACTATTTTATGACTTTATCTATCGCTTAAATTGTCATATTTAAATTTTCAAGGTGAATACTACTCATTTCATTTTTATCAATCAATCCCAAGTTCAATTAGGACTGATATCGTAATATGAAGTTGAATTGTAATAGATTAATAATGTAAACTAAGAAATTGTCTTATTTGCTCAAAACGATGTATCAGATGTTAAAATTCTAATACATATAACAAGTGATGTTTTTAATTCGATCATAATAATGATTTAATTAATAAATTTGATTGCAATTGTATTATATTTAAGAAAAAATTAATTTAGGAATAGCAAAAGATAGATCTAAAAAAAGTACTTGGAACAATGAATTTGACATTATGTTGTCTTAGCAAAAGGATTTAACAATTTTTTCTATTTTATAAATACTACAATTTTAAATTCTTCATGCATTTAAAGTACATATGTTTATTTTTTTTAAATCAACTATACCTTTTAAGTTGAATACATTGTTGTTTCAAATCCTTAATGAGTTTCTAAATAATATCACATTTAATCATAGATTACTTTGGAAGATGAAAATAAATTAATTACATAGTTTCAAAATATTAGTTTGATTGGTATTCTGAAATCATTTTTAATAATTCAGTTTTTTTAGAGTAGATATATTTTTATTATAAAATTTAGAATTTTAACACTTTGGTTATTTTTGTTCTTTCTTAAGTTATCTAAAGAAATTGAAGCTAAATGAAATATAATCAGCTGTAAATGAATCGAACTTTTATTCACTAAAGTGCATCTAAATTAAATTTAACATTGTCAAAAAATTATAAATCTTATGAGGATAATAATCTGTTTATTAACTTCTTCTATCTTTTAATATAATCAATAATAAATATCTTAAAGTTAATAAACTCCCCTATCTTTATAAATAATGTTAAGCTTCCATTTAAACTAAAATAAAGCATTTGGATACTTAACTGATCCAATACCACCATAACTGCCACATCATTTGTGATGAAAGTTTAGGAAATGAGTTATACTGAGAATTACTAGAATATCTTAGTATTTAGTAATTTACTAGATTTATTCCTGATTTTTCATTGAGTTCTTCTATAATCACTTTAAATTTAATAAAACTCAAATAATTTTAACCCTATTTTATCTTACTATCAATCTGTAAAGCAAACTATCTAACAATAAAAAGAAGCCATTTTTCCAAAAAATATATTTTAATTGCCATAATTCCATATACTTTATTTTTCAAAAGTAAAATATAAACTAAATAGAAAATACCAATCAAGAATCCAAATCGATTTAAAGGGTTCAGAATGGATAATAATTTTAAGAAGGTACATTATTGGTAGTGTGTTTGATTTTAACTGAATTGGTTCAAATACTCAATATGTTCGCTTTGATTGAAAAAATAATAATTATATCTTATTTGAATTAATGGTGTGAAGTCAAATAAAATTTAAATGAAGTGCTCTATTCATAATCCATTAATCATGAGAAAAATAGACAGGTAGTAAAGTTAACTTACATTATATCAAACTTTCTTTACTATTTGATTCAACATGTTAATATCTTCAGTTTGATTATAAAATTCTTCCTGAATTAGAAAAAGAATTTTAGCTTTGATAAATTATTTAGCTGAAATATGAAGAACTTTAAAAAAAGTCTTAATTTAGCTGCATGATCTAAAATTATTTTAACCATCTGAAAGGTTAAATCTTCTTACTTGTTCATTCAATTTATTAGGAATTATTGAAGAATTTCAGAAGGTAGAAGAGAAAGTTTTAAAGAATTATGAGGAACTGGTAGATGATTTTTTGACAGATATCTGGCCCAAAAATGAGAATTCACTATCAAACTAAACTGTTGCCTGATTCATCTATCATATCTACATACTTGAATTTCAGATTCAAATTTTGAAAGGTAATTTAGATATTTTATAGATTGTAACACTTTCCTTAGATTACTTGCTAGATTTTAAGTTAGATTTTTCTTATTTCTTCAGCATAACAACTTTCTAATCCTTATTTAATTTGAGTTAGAGATAATTTTAAAGAGGAGAGAAATTATTGTATTTATTCTTGTTCCTTCAATTTC